AATACAAAGTTATGATAAAAATACTGAAAGAAGGTGCAGCTGCCTGTTTAAAACAAGAAATTTCGTTACATAGTCCGTTAAAACAACAAATTCCGTTAGTTTTTCCGTTAAAAACAAGAAATTCCGTTACATAGCTACTTTTAATATATAGAAGATATTTGATACTCGACACTCCTATTCCAAATATAAATTTTTTTATTTATTCTTTCTTATGTAAAATAGAGTTCCTTTTTTGTTCTTTCTTATTTAGAATATGATTTCTTCTTTTTAAGATTATGATTTTAAATTCTCTCCTTCTAGAATTTAATTTACCCTTATCTGGTCCATATTAAATTTTTTTAAAAAAATTTCTTTCTTAGTTTTAATCACACATTCTCCAAATAAAATAATATTACACACAAATATAAAATTTCTCATTATTTTTAACCACACGTTCTCTCATCAATCAGTATTCCAAAATTTATAAATTCTCCAAATAAGGGCCAAACAATGACTTATAATTTTCTTATATTAGTAAAATTGGAAAATTATTTTGCCTATATAAAAAATGTTTTTTTATACTTTTTCATAATCATTTCAATACTAATAAAATATTCTCTACACATTTTAGGTTTTTAAATTTATTATTGTTTCAAATTTTTCAATTTCGTTTTCACATCAAAATTGGTATTACAACAAGTTTTAAGACACTCACGAGCTATCAAGGATTTCACGAAGATGATGTATAAAGGAGTGCAATTTAAAGCATGATGAGACTTTTAGAATACAATTCACAATTAACAATAAAGTATGCAACACGATTATAAATCATGAGTAATGAGGACTTGGTATCTAAAGCATCATAGAAAACTTTAAACGTGACGATGAAAAAAGATTAATAGCACAAAATCATCTATAAACGTTTCTATGTGCGATATACCCTCTTATCTATTGAAAATCACGGAAAACACCTCTTATTTGAAACCCATTGTGCAAAACCCACCCTACCATCAGACCAATCAGATATGTTGTTAAAAAGGGTATAAATGTCAAAATTAAAAAGGAATAATTATAATTTCAGTATCCAGACTTTATTTTTTTTAACAAAATAAATTCAATTCTTTATACGTGCCACTTACAATCTCAAATCTTTAAAACTTTATTTTCCATCCCATTCCAATTCACTTATCTTCGCCGAAAATCCATTTGAGACTCCACCCAAATTAAAATTGATAAAATGATAACTTTAAAATTAATACATTAAGGGCACGTTTGAGTCCCATTTTTTTTTTTAGGTAAAATGCATTTTGAAATAGTAAATTGATGTAGTTAAAAATGAATGAAATTTTTTTGGATTGCGTATAATATTATTTTATTAAAAAATTTACGATTGAAAAGAAGATAAAGAAAAATATATCTTGAAAAAAAAATTAGATTAAAGAAAGTATAAATAAATAACCAAAAAAACCAAAAATTCAGAAAAAAAAAATAATAATAAAAATGTTCTCTCCTTCAAACCACGACCCCTACCCCAACCCATTTCCCCATACAAAGCACGGTCGTCGCCACCACCGCAATGGTTCCTTGTCGCCTTTTAGAGAATGGCCATTGAGCAATTGACTCTTAAAATGCTGCCTCGGATGACTCCAGTTTTGGGCAAGGCCGAGAAATCTTGATCCGAACTCAATTTAATCAACTAAACAAACACCAACCGATGAGGCTCAACCCACGACTTTATACACTTGGTTGCCACAAAATTACTCACCCACAAAGGATGGTGGTGGTGGTTGCAATATCACAAAGGGAGGAAGAAATGTAAGGAAGCAACGGTGAAAACTCAATACCTCACATCTCTTCTTGGCTGCCTCTCTATTTGTTCTCTCTTGCATTCTCACACACATGCCCCAAACAACAAATGGAAAGAGATGGATATATATAGCACTAGTTAGGCCACTCCAATTGGGCCAAACTTCACTAAATGGGCCACCATATATCACCATCCAACTAATAACCACGACTTGGGTTCGAAATACAAAGTTATGATAAAAATACTGAAGGAAGGTGCAACTGCCTGTTTAAAACAAAACATTCTGTTACATAGTCCGTTATATTGAGACATATTTTTGGCATAGAAAGTGATCGAATTGGAGAATGTTGTCTGAATCAAAGTTGTAGCCAGATGAGTTAGCTTTCCAACGCATTTTGAATCGCCTCAATCGGATATCGAAATACAAAGTTATAATAAAAATACTGAAAGAATGTACAACTGTCTGTTTAAAACAAGAAATTCCGTTACATAATCCGGTAAAACAACAAATTCCGTTAGTTTTTCCGTTAAAAACAAGAAATTATGTTACATAACTACTTTTAATATATAGAAGATATTTGATACTCGACACTCCTATTCAAAATATAAATTTTTTTATTTATTCTTTCTTATGTAAAATAGAGTTCCTTTTTTTTTTCTTTCTTATTTAGAATATGATTTCTTCTTTTAAAGATTATGATTTTGAATTCTCTCCTTCTAGAATTTAATTTACCCTTATCTGGTCCATATTAAATTTTTTTAAAAAAATTTCTTTCTTAATTTTAATCACACATTCTCCAAATAAAATAATATTACACACAAATATAAAATTTCTCATTATTTTTAACCACACATTCTCTCATCAATCAGTATTCCAAAATTTATAAATTCTCCAAATAAGGGCCAAACAATGACTTATAATTTTCTTATATTAGTAAAATTGGAAAATTATTTTGCCTATATAAAAAATGTTTTTTTATACTTTTTCACAATCATTTCAATACTAATAAAATATTCTCTACACATTTTAGGTTTTTAAATTTATTATTGTTTCAAATTTTTCAATTTCGTTTTCACATCAAAATTGGTATTACAACAAGTTTTAAGACGCTCACGAGCTATCAAGGATTTCACGAAGATGATGTATAAAGGAGTGCAATTTAAAGCATTATGAGACTTTTAGAATACAATTCACAATTAACAATAAAGTATGCAACACGATTATAAATCATGAGTAATGAGGACTTGGTATCTAAAGCATCATAGAAAACTTTAAACGTGATGATGAAACAAGATTAATAGCACAAAATCATATATAAACGTTTCTATGTGCGATATACCCTCTTATCTATTGAAAATCACGGAAAACACCTCTTATTTGAAACCCGTTGTGCAAAACCCACCCTACCATCAGACCAATCAGATATGTTGTTAAAAACGGTATAAATGTCAAAATTAAAAAGGAATAATTATAATTTCAGTATCCAGACTTTATTTTTTTAAACAAAATAAATTCAATTCTTTATAAGTGCCACCTACAATCTCAAATCTTTAAAACTTTATTTTCCATCCCATTCCAATTCACTTATCTTCTTCTCCAAAAATCCAATTGAGACTCCACCCAAATTAAAATTGATAAAATGATAACTTTAAAATTAATACATTAAGGGCGCGTTTGAGTCCCATTTTTTTTTTTAGGTAAAATGCATTTTGAAATAGTAAATTGATGTAGTTAAAAATGAAGGAAATTTTTTTGGATTGCGTATAATATTATTTTATTAAAAAATTTACGATTGAAAAGAAGATAAAGAAAAATGTATTTTGAAAAAAAAATGAGATTAAAGAAAGTATAAATAAATAACAAAAAAACCAAAAATTCAGAAAAAAATAATAATAATAAAAATGTTCTCTCCTTCAAACCACGACCCCTACCCCAACTCATTTCCCCA